ATATGTATACTAGTATTAATACTATTATTGTAATTTGTAGAATGTTACTCTTAATTTTATCACAATGATGGTAGAAGTGTAGATATGATGTATATGGATATTTAAAAGAGGCTTTTGATAGAGGAAGCAAAAATTTGTTTTTAATGGAGTCCAGTTGAACTGGATATTTTGTTACTAATAGTGCGCCTTTGCATATTTTTACTTACAAGATACATTATATAAATTGCTAACTAGGCCTTACTTGGAATACTGTGCACAGTTTTTGGCCAACTTAGCTAAAACAGGATATTGACATAATGAAATGGTTATAACTAGTATATTGGGGAATGCTAGCTAAATTTGAGAACAGAAATGGCATTTTGTTGGAATTCTGGAAGTTTAAAATCTCTTGATGTATTTCTCTGTGAGAAATAAATGTTAACAGGTGATCATACTGAAGTTCACAAGTATTATCCAAGAAGGTAAAAAATCCTCATCTCAAAAAAACCCACAAGATCAACAGAAAAACATCTAATGTTTGAACAAAAAAAGCTGATAACATTGGTAATTGTGTCAATAAATATGTGGTATATGAATTTCAAGTTTAACATTGCTCAGTAAAATATGTTGGGGAACTAAATTTCATTTGGTTTGTATTACAGACTTAAAGAACACTAGGAAGATTAACTTAGGACATACAGTGAAAAAAACTACAGCAGAACACAAGATAACAAAACATGAAATTCTGCAATTAAGTTAGGTCTGTAAGTGAATGCAGCCTGTACTGTAGCAAACATTATTGAAGTAATAGATTAATTTGTTATTTTTGCATGGATTGCACTTTTCATTATTATTATTACCAAAAGAAAACCACCCAGAGACAAAATAAGCTTCAACAATATGGAAACAAAAATGCATTTAAAAGTATATTGTCAAAATATTTTCTTTGGAATAACCATTCTAATTATCAGGACTAATCAATAACTGGTGTACTAGATGTATATTTCTTTACCCTGAAAGGTTACAAGCAGAAAAGTTTTTCTAATAAACAGTATATTCTATAGCATTGATTTTACTTGAGTTATTTTTTTGTAGTATTCCAAACATTACATAAAAACTAATGAACATTTTTCTCTGTTTAAAGATTAAGAAACATAACATATTTCCCAATACAATGTAGTAGAATTGGCAGTTGTAACATATTCTAGGAAATTGTGAGTAAAAGTAGAGTAAAAGAAGAAAATGTCAATCACACTACTTCTGCTATACCTGTTGCTGATGAGACTTTTTGTCTAACACCAGTGATTATCAGGATTGCTGGGATATGACATAGTAGTTGTCTAGGGACTACTTATATCATCGACTTCCATAAGCAACGACTGTTATGGTGTGAACTAGATTCAGTTACTGAAATGTAATTATTTTCACTTTATTTCATGTACGAATCCGATTTTTATGGTAAGGATTAAGAACACAATACAATTTATTTATTTTTAAACACTAATTATTTATATTTTAGTATTACTTTATTTAATACAATTTCACTATCATTCAGAACAACTGACAAACTAGTCTTGTTACCAGAGTGGGATGAGCAATTCACAGACAACAAGAATTAAATGGTCCTTCAAGATTGTCTCTCCTACAAGTCAATCACGTGACTGGAAAAATACAACTATTTGAACTGGACCCTAGCTTGTCAATTCCAGATTTTAAGCTTATATCCTGTTGTCATCAGGGTACAATTTGATCCCTTGCATAATCTTGTGAACTTCAATAAGATCATCTCTTATTCTTCTTTTTTCAAGAGAAAATAACAAATCTTAATCTATCCTGATAAGATAATCCTTCCATTCTAGAATGAATTGGAATCATTCTAGTAGCTTTTCTTTGAACCTTTACCAATAAGTCAGTAGTCTTTCTGAGATAAGGAGACCAATTCTGAACACAGTATTACAAGTGAAGCCTTAGTAGTGATTTCTTATGAGAGATAATTATCTTACACAACTTACATAACATCATAGCATTACATGTATATTCAATGATACAAACAGTCTGTTAATAAGTACATTTATATATAATGCAGAGTCTAGTGCACTTTTCAGGCACATATGAGGTCAGTCATCACGTGAACGAGTGGAATAATTCAATAATTTAACTTCTGTAAACTTAAAAAGTTTGTTTGGAATTAAGCACAATGGGCTATCTGTGCTCTGCCCACCACGGATATCAAAACCCGGTTTCCAGCGTTGAAAGTCTGCAGACATACCGCTGTGCCACTGGGGGGCCTTAAAAAGTTATAAATTTTCAAATTGTGACGTTTTTTTTCCTACATTCATATTAGCAACTCTTCAATCTTCAGGTACCTACCCACTATCTGTTGGCATACCAAATATCAAAGAAAGTGGCTTAAATTTCTGATTTGCTTTAAAGAAACGCTTGGGAAAGCATTGTCTGTCATAGTGCTTCAGTTACTTCTAATTTCTTGAAATTTCTTTTTTGACCACCAAGAGGTTAATAGCTATATAGTTCAGTTCAATCTTGGTAATCTTCATAGCATGAATATTGTTAGCATTCTCTCTTGTAAAAAAAAAGAAGAAAAATAAATTAATTCAAAATAAAGAGGAAAATGGTAAAAGCGTAGAGCAAACCTACCATATTTTTTGGAATATAAAATGCACCAGTGTATAAGACACACCCTCATTTTGAAGACAAGGTTTTGGGGGGAAAAAAGCT